AAAGGGGCGAAGGGGATCCGCACGCTGCTCTTTGCTCTGATGATGTCCCTCCCTGCGTTGTTTAACATCGGCCTCCTGCTCTTCCTGGTCATGTTCATCTACGCCATCTTTGGAATGTCCAACTTTGCCTATGTCAAGAGGGAAGTTGGAATTGATGACATGTTCAACTTTGAAACCTTTGGCAACAGCATGCTCTGCCTGTTCCAGATTACCACCTCTGCTGGCTGGGATGGTTTGTTAGCACCTATTCTCAACAGTGCACCACCTGACTGTGACCCTGATACAATTCACCCTGGAAGCTCAGTTAAGGGAGACTGTGGGAACCCATCGGTGGGGATTTTCTTTTTCGTCAGTTACATCATCATATCCTTTCTGGTTGTGGTGAACATGTACATCGCTGTCATCCTGGAGAACTTCAGTGTTGCTACTGAAGAAAGTGCAGAGCCCCTGAGTGAGGATGACTTTGAGATGTTCTACGAGGTTTGGGAGAAGTTTGACCCCGATGCTACCCAGTTCATGGAATTTGAAAAATTATCGCAGTTTGCAGCTGCTCTTGAACCCCCTCTCAATTTGCCACAGCCAAACAAACTCCAGCTCATTGCCATGGATTTGCCCATGGTCAGTGGTGACCGGATCCACTGTCTTGACATCCTATTTGCTTTTACTAAGAGGGTTCTGGGGGAGAGTGGCGAGATGGACGCTCTCCGAATACAGATGGAAGAACGATTCATGGCTTCTAATCCATCAAAGGCCTCCTACCAGCCAATTACTACAACTTTAAAACGAAAACAAGAGGAGGTGTCCGCTGTTATTATTCAGCGTGCTTACAGGCGCTACCTTTTAAGGCGAACTGTAAAACAAGCTTCATTTATGTATAACAAAAATAGAATCAAAGGTGGGGTTAATCTTCTTGCAAAAGAAGACATGATCATTGACAGAATAAATGAAAATTCTATTACAGAAAAAACTGACCTGACCATGTCCACAGCAGCTTGTCCACCCTCCTATGATCGGGTCACAAAGCCAATCGTGGAAAAACACGAGCAAGAAGGCAAAGATAAAAAAGCCAAGGGGAAATAAACAGAAACAAACAAAAATAATTGGGTTACTATTTGTTTACAGCCTGTGAAGGTGATGTATTTTTGTCAACTGGACTCCTTGAGGAGGTCAATGCCAAACTGACTGTTTTTACACAAATCTACTTAAGGTCAGTGCCTACAATAAGTGACCCTTGTCAGAAAACTGCAACTCTGTGTAAAGGGGAGATGACAGGAGGTTACTGTTCTCACTACCAGCTGACACTGCTGAAGACAAGAGACAAAACAGCTACTTAGAACGTGAGGACCCGTTCCAAGGGGTGCAAACCTATGATTTGGGTTGTTTAACATGAAACACTTTAGTGTAGTAATTGTATCCACTCTTTTGCATTTCAACTGCCACATTTGTCACATTTTTACAAAATCTGTTAGTGGATTCATCTTTTTTTTAATCCATATGTTGTTTATTATATGTGACTATTTTTGTAAACGGGGTTTCTGTTGGGAAATAGATTAAAGGACCTCTTTACCAGGTATGCCACCGGGAGTGATGGCAATCACATCGCCCTCCTATCTGAACAAAGACTTGGTTTGCATGAGGGCATGCTACACTTAGAGATCATGCATGAAAAAAGGTCACAAGGAAAACAATGAGTTCTTAAATTCCATCCATGTTTCTGGAGGGGTAATTAGGTGATAATTGGAGGTGCTTTGCTCATCTTGTGTTGTGTTTTTGTTTTCAAATCCAGCCCCTAGACCAAGTACATCATTTTGGGGGTGGTAGGCCACTAAATGTTAGTAGGTGCAAACTTCATTCAGATGTCTGGAATCATAATGTTATGTTTCTGTTTATTGTATTTAAAAAAAACCTAAATAATGAGCATTGCTTCTCCCCTGAAGACTGAATTGACCAAAAGAACCCTTTATAAATTTCTGCTTAATCCTGCACTTCGTTTAGCCATCTTCAGCTCAGCAAGATCAACGCTGTATATGTTACTGAAATGCTATTTATTATGTAAATAGTCATTTTACCCTGTGGTGCACGTTTGAGCAAACAAATAATGACCTAAGCACAGTATTTATTGCATCAAATATGTACCACAAGAAATGTAGAGTGCAAGCTTTACACAGGTAATATAAAATATTATGTACCATTATAAATAGTTTGGATGCTATAAATGCATGTTTTTATTACCATGCCGCTATATCTGGTTTCTCCCACTGCTCAGAATCTCATTTATGAGAAACCGTATGTCAGTGGTAAAGTCGAGGAAATTGTTCAGCCAACTTCATTTCTTTATGTCATTAAGCAATAGTTTGCAGCACTGTAATAGCCTTTTGGTTATTTTTAAATTTTAAGTGGATAACATATGGTGTATAGCCAGACTGTACAGACATGTTTAAAAATAAACAAACAAAAAAAAAGAACCTTGCTTAACCTGTTAAAAATGTGTTTAGAATTTTATAAGCAAATATAAATACTGTAAAAAAAAGTCATTTTATTTTATTTTTCAGCATTATGTACATAAATATGAAGAGAAAATTACCTTCAGGTTGAGATCACAATCACTTTTCTTACTTTCTGTCCATAGTACTTTTTAATGGAAGAAATTTGCTAAAAAAGAAATGAAAACAAGACTGGGTCGTTGTGTATTTCTGCTTTTTACTACATTTGCTAATTTTAGATTATTTCATAATTTTAAGGGCCAAAATGGGTTCACAATTCACATCCAAATTATGCTTTGCAATTGGAAAAGGGTATGAAATTTTATTTACACTTTTTGGTGGCATCTGCACTAGCTGATTGAAGGTAGTGTTTATCTTTCATTTCTGTCCTTTTTTCTAACTTCTGTTTATATTTTTATTTCTTTGGAGTCATGCTGCTTTAGAGTGCGGTAAATATGATGTGGGTTTCACATTATCCCCACACACACACAAAAATAGAGTAGTGAACGTATCTAGGCAATTACATCAGGACATTTTGTGTTTCTTACAGATGAAGTAAACTGTAGGCTCCTCTTTTTTCTTAAAACTACTTAGATAAACTGTATTCGTGAACTGCATGCTGGAAAATGCTACTGTTACCCTAAATGATGCTAACCAACATTAAAAATGTGCAAAACTAATAAAGATTACATTTTCTATTTTATTGTTTGCCCGGGTACTTCATTTATAAAAAAATGAAGTTATTTTTATTCAACAAACTGGGGGAGAAGGGGAGCTAAACACACACACACATACACCCACAACTGGGTCTACTGGGGCTGACAGTAAGGTGTGTCTCTGTTAGGAGAAAGAACTAATGTCAGAGTATAAGCTGGTGTCTCCAGGAGGAAACCCAAATGATGGTGGATGGCGACTTGAAGCACAAAAAAAATCCCTTCAATTTGTATTTTAAAAAAGTGAAAGTTGCTATGTGTGAGTTGAATATTTTGTTTGTACCCACAGAGCCACACTTTTCCAAGTTTCTCCACGCTGCTCTGTATGAGGGTAATTGTATGCATTGTGTCAGTCTCATCAATAAATCTCTTACTCTACAGCTCACAACTGCTTTGGCCAATGGGAAGCAGCATCAGGAAAGCACCGATGGCAGAAGAGTGAATTGGGTATTTATCCCCACTTCCTTTGTTGAGCTGCTCTGGGTTGGCAGTGGCTGCATTTGACAATCTCAGTTATGAAGCCAGAAGGGAGAATATGACCTTGACAAGAAAAGGAACAGTAATGTACAGTGTTTCTCTCATTCTTCAACAACCTTGTCTTTTCACATCGTAGCCCTAAAACAACATGAAAATAATACTGATGTATCAATGGCTGAAAAGAATTTCCTATTTCCAATCAATATAAATAAGAATCATAGCAGAATTCTTGCCAATTTTTTATACTCCACATCCATACCAGTACTCAACAAATACAAAGAGAACTGGTGAACATAATTCTAAAGATCAACATACTCATTTTTGTATTATTTTGCATAATATTTTGGTACCAAAAAGTAACTAATGCTCATGTAATGAAGTGACGTTAGTGTAAGACATAGTTAACAGCTTGAAGGAGGTTCTCAATGGTCAAAATGGGCAATTTGACATCAAAATAAATAATGATAGTAATAGATTATAACCCATTGAATGAAATAACAATCCACCAGTATATACTGATATAAATAAGTGGAGAAAAGGACAAATCTAACCCTTACAGTTAAATGTTAACTGTCAAGTATAGTAGAAATAATGGAGTTAGAAAGTCACCAGTTGGCCATCTTTATAATGACAACTGATTCAGGCAAAAGTAATCAATGAATACTAAAACTCATGGGTGAGTTCAATGAGGAAAAGGAAATTTACATAGTCTCAATGTATCTCTTCTGTATTAATTATAAAAATAACGAAAATAACAAAGTTTACAGTGGAAAAATCTAGCAAACACTATCTTCAAAAATAACATCACCAATTATGGAACCAACTATACTGAAAAAGACATGCAATGTTTTGATATCCTGTCAAAATTGCACAAACAGAATTTAACCATAAATGAAATCAAGCCCTGACTGGTTTGGCTCATTGGATAGAGCATCGGCCTGTGGACTGAAGGGTCCCAGGTTCGATTCTGGTCAAGGGCATGTACCTTGGTTGCAGGCACATCCCCAGTAGGGGGTGTGCAGGAGGCAGCTGATAGATGTTTCTCTCTCATCGATGTTTCTAACTCTCTATCCCTTTCCCTTCCTCTCTGTAAAAAATCAATAAAATATATTAAAAAATAAATAGAAATTCTTCTTTAAAAAACACTTTAAAAAAGATAGGCTGTTGATTAATTATTATCATTCTAAATGGGTTAATTTTCCTAATTTTATTAAGTATAGTGCTGCTATTACATCACCATAGGTAATGTCCTTGTTCTTGGAAAATGCACACTAAGATATTTAGGGGTGAGTGGGATGGTGTCTCAATTCATTCTCAAATGGGTTCAAAGGAAATCAATTATATGTATCTATGTGTTTGTGTAAATTTAGATACATAGATAAATATGGATATAAATATGATAAATATGTGTGTCTTTTGGGAAGGAATGATTTTTTTGTTGCTGTGTGTTATTGAAGTGTGTATGTACGTGTATTCACTCTACCACCTGTTTTTGGTATCCTAAAATTTATTCCTTTTACCCTCAAACATAGATATGCTACCTCCAATTACCTTAAAGAATACTATATTTTAACTCTTGTTTCCTGGAAGTCATCTTTCTAATGAGTAACTAAATGATTATATTCTTTACCCTTCGTGATAATTTTTATATTGCTAAAAATAAGGCTATTTTGTGAGGAATCTGTAGTTAAGACTCAGTATTTGAAGCTAGATAGACCTAAATTGGAGCCATAAGAACTAAGTTCTTGTGTTTCTGTCCACATCATAAGAGAAAATGACTGGCTTATTAGCTATGTATGCTGGAGCCCAGAAATTGTTTGGATAGAAACCAATCATCTCAAATACAGTTCCACAGATCAGCACCCCATGACAAGGTTTTCATATGCCTACAGTTAATCCAGATATTAAGAATAGTGTCAGCCCTAGCCGGTTTGGCTCAGTGGATAGAGCGTCGGCCTGGGAACTGAAAGGTCCCAGGTTCGATTCTGGTCAAGGGCACATGTCCGGGTTGTGGGCTCAATCTCCAGTGGGGGACTTGCAGGAGGCAGCCGATCCATGAGTCTCTCTCTCATCATGGATGTTTCTATCTCTCTTTCCCTCTTCCTTCCTCTCTGAAATAAATAAAAATATATTTTTAAAAATTTTTAAAAAGAATAGTGTCAGAAGTATTTATAAAGCTAAACATATTCAACTTAAATAATTTTATTGCAAAAGTGTCTCCCAAGAAATCAGAAACAAAGACATATGCACTCCTATGTTCACAGCAGCACAATATACAATGGCTAAGATTTGGAGACAGCCTAAGTGCCCATCAGCAGGTGCGTGGGTTAAAAAACTGTGGTACATCTACACAATGAAATACTACACTGCTGCAGAAAAAAAAAAAAAAACAAAAACTCTTACCATTCACAATAGCATGGATGGACATGGAGAACATTATGCTAAGTGAAATAAGCCAGTCAGAGAAAGAGAAATATCACATGATCTCACTCATTTGTGAAATATAATGAACAACATAAACTGATGAAAAAAAATAGATCCAGAGACAAAGAAGCATCGAACAGACCATCAAGCTTCAAGGTGGAGGGGGACTAGATCAACCAAAGGACTTGTACGCATGCATATAAGCATAATCAATGGACACAGGCACTAGGGGCGTGAGGGAATGTGCTGGGGGGTGGGGTGGCAGGAGAGGTCAATGGGGGGAAAAGGAGACATATGTAATACTATATGTAATAATTTAAACAGTACACAGACATACTCTCTGGACCAAACTGGAAGTACAACTAAAATACAAAAAGACATTCTGAATAATCCACTGAACACTAGCTGGAAATAACAACTGATAACCAAGGACTGAAAGCGGAGACCAGATAGACTCTGGAAGAAAGGGCAGAATTGCAAAAGTGCTGGCCAGGCTCCCAAAGATAGCAGCTGAAGTTTTGGAGAGAGATCTCAGCTGTGGAGGTGTTCCCACTGAGAACTCTGGGTCATCATCCCCCAGCAGAGAGCACCAGAACTGAGAAAGGTGCTCACATAACATCTGACTGTGAAAAGCAGCAGGGTTGCTGTCTGTGAGGAGAGATGGCTGGAAATGCAGGCCCCTCTTAAAGGGCCAACACACAAAATTTTGTGTGCAGTCACTCACCTTGTGCTGCGGCAGAGGGTGGGTAGAATGGACTGGAGCTGGGTATGCAGAAGCCAGGGTTGAGGGCTCTGGGTTTAAAGCTCAGAAGGCAGACACCACGGTTTCTTGCTGAGTCATTTTCTCATGCTGGAGAGGTCATCTTTCTTGGGAAGACTTTTGCTATCAAGGTGGTTTTTGCCTGAGGGGAAGATAGTTTTCCCACCCTATTGGAAAACACCTTGCCCCGCATTGTGGAGTTTCTGAGGCCCATTAGGAGACTGAGAATGACAATTATCCCCCAGTCAGAAGCAATTGCCCCAACCTGTTGGAAACCTCTCTCCACACCTGTGGACCATTGGCTGAGGGTTACTCAAGAGTTCATCCAATCAGTCTTCAGGCAGAGGCAGGTCTCTGGAGGCTTTGAGTCTTTGCCTGATCTAATTAGTCATAAACACTGTTGGGCACTGTCCTGCACTACAGATTGAGAGGCATAGCAGATCTACCTAATACATAGTCACAGATCCAAAGAGGTAGCCAAAATGGGAAGACAAAATCAACCCCCAAGTGAAAGAACAAGAGAATTGTCCAGAGGAAGAGATAAATGACATGAAGATAAGACATTTACCTGATATAGAGTTCAGAATAATGATGGTAAAGATGCTCAACAGCATGAGAAAAGTTATAGTAAGTATGAAAAAGAACAATCAGAAATAAAGGGTGACATAGCACCAATAAAATTTGGCAGGAGTACACAGCAGATTAGGAGAAGCTGAGGATTGGATCAGTGAATTAGATGACAGGGTGGAAAAAATCACTCAATCAAAGAAGCAAAAAGAAAAGGCAAAGAAAAAACAGGAGTACAGTTTAAGAGAGCTGTGAGACAAGGAATTTTTTTTCAGCCTTGCAGAATATCTTACTAGGGTGCTGTTTTCTAAATGCCCACAAGAGGGTGGTGTTCTCAGAATACCCATAAGAGAGCACTATAACAAAAATAAAGAATTTAAGAATATGACCTTGACAAGAAAAGGAACAGTAATGTACAGTGTTTCTCTCATTCTTCAACAACCTTGTCTTTTCACATCGTAGCCCTAAAACAACATGAAAATAATACTGATGTATCAATGGCTGAAAAGAATTTCCTATTTCCAATCAATATAAATAAGAATCATAGCAGAATTCTTGCCAATTTTTTATACTCCACATCCATACCAGTACTCAACAAATACAAAGAGAACTGGTGAACATAATTCTAAAGATCAACATACTCATTTTTGTATTATTTTGCATAATATTTTGGTACCAAAAAGTAACTAATGCTCATGTAATGAAGTGACGTTAGTGTAAGACATAGTTAACAGCTTGAAGGAGGTTCTCAATGGTCAAAAT